TCTCTACGATAGGCCAAGTATCGGCCGAATCGGGGGACCGCAGTGTTTCAGCAAGCCTCGGTGAAAGTTGGCTCCCAAGAGCTGAAAAGGTTGCGCGCAGCAGCAGAAAGCTGGTTCAACTCAGATGTGATCGTGAGGCATTTCTCGCGTCCAAAGCAAAATCAAAGGGTGAAAACAGCTTTCCGGTGGAGGGTATGATCTACTTGAGGTGCCCGTGTACTTTGGTGGCACGCTGAGGTCTGTGTGAGAAGTACGAGGTGGTGAAAGAACTGGGCTCAGCCTTGTCCAATCTGGGGAGGGGATGAAACAAAATTGCCCCGCTGAAACCTGCGGCGTGATTTTTTGTCCATACTTTTTTTCAATTTCCTATAGGGGGCAACACATGTGCACATGCCAATTCAAGCCGCAACAGAGGCCCCGTCTCGTGTTGCGGATATCCCATGTCGCCACGAGAATGTTGCGGGGCCGCAACGCCGCAACACCTATATTTGTATGTACATGTGTGCATATCTCAAACGCTGCCGGTCTTGGCATTTGTTGTCTCTTGAATCCTCAAGAGACAGCGATCTTGTACACGTGCATGCTGTATTGCGTCCGGCCAGTATTGAACCTTCTCTACGTACATGTAAACCGCACCTGTTTACGGGGACCTCTGCTGCTGTGTTCTACAGGGGGTGTTCTTGCTTTGATGTTACTTTTGTTGTCCTTCAAAAATCGGCAAAAATCTCATGAGTCCCGTATGTAGACTATACTGCAGGGCCGGGGGGGTAACGAACCACAGGGTACGCGATCAAAACCTTGACAATAATATACCAGCAGAGCGAGGAGCCCCGCCCACACAGGGTCGTCCATCCTGTATTGTAGCTAGAGTAAGTGCACCGGGTCCTCTCTCCGCGGGGTTGTTCGTTGGGTGCTGGTCTGCTGATACTGTCGGTTCTGGTGGGTGCAGAAGCAGAGGTGGCGGGGTGTTGGGAGGGGCTGTTGCTGTGGGTGAGCGGGAAACAGGCATGAGGAGGCACGATTGCGCACCGCATCTCAGGCAACGACCAAGAGGCTGGGGCATCAGAAAGGCACGGCCCGCCCGGTACCCTACGAATGTGTGGTTCGAATATTTCACATCCCCTCCGCGATGCTGGCAGCACCTAAAAGAGGTGGTATTTTTCTACTCTCTGGTGTAATGCATGTCGATCGCAGTCCAATAACTTGTCCATTAGCAAAAAGGTTTGTCGCCTCATGCGTGATTGAGCATTCAGAGTTTACTCGTGTGGTTGCTCCTGGAGAAAAATGGCCGTACTTGGTAAAAAGGCGGGCTCGCCCCTGGCCAAGAGGGCCTTCGCTCTGCGGTCTAGACTAACTAACATGCTTCTGAAGAGCACTATGTAAGAAAACCATCTACTGTAGCCATCATATCCATCCATGGTCCCTGGGTGCCAAGCAGTGCACTCGCCAAGAGCTGACTGATTTGGTCTCTCTAGTAGGGAGGGGTTGGGACATTGGCACAAAGTTCGGTCAAGTACAGCCGCCTCTCCTGCAAAACGTTGGAGACCCTGTACACCCATTTGCTCTTACATTGTTATCGGAAGTAGACACATAGGTGGTTGGGGTATGCTGCGTGTAGAGTGAATCCAGATTGAACGTAGGCGCTGTAGCCCCGTGACCATCGTCGTACATATCTGTCCCACGGATGATGGCCAGGAAACGTGAGTCACTCTACGATGGCGGAACAAGCATGAAGATTGCTTCCTGGGAGTGCGAAAGAGGGCATGGCAAAAAAGCGGACGGACAACCTTCAGCTGCGATGACAAAGCTTTTCCCCAGTTCACATACAAACTGCTTGCAGACACAAACCAAGACTGTCCTGAGGTGTCCTGCTGAACTCGTGACAAGTCCAAGTCTTTCAACGCAATGAGTATCCGTGATAGGAAAGGTTGTACGGCCAAAGATGGCTCGATCGAGCAAATTCTCAAACAACCCAGCAGGGGCTCCACCAAATGAATGTTGCGTTGGCATTTCGCGTGGCGAGGGTCAGCCGCGAGGTGTGAGGCTTCTTTGGCCACACATTCCATGAGCAGCTCCCCCTCTTCACCCCGACTAGCGAGAGGGTTCGTCAGGGTCACCGTGTACACCATATTGTGCTTGGCCCCCGAAGGGTTTCGTTCTCGCAATACTGGAGCTGTGGTGCGGCACTACAGTCATGGTGAATTCGAAAAGCACGGCGTCGAGTCGACGTGAGCAGTTTGGATGGGACAGGATGAGACGCTGATGATTAAGGCAAAAAGGTGTGCTTTGTCCGATATTCATTGAAAGTGCGGAAATTGTTGTTTCATTTCCATGTAGCTGAATTATCGTTCGCAGCCGACAATGGCACAAAGTCTACGTAACACAGGAGCCTTTTCTGCAAATCACACAGGGACCTTGGAGCGAGTGCGCCAGTGATTCGTACTGCTGGGAGTTGCGATTTCACGTTCAGTGGTGTGGTAAAGTCTACATTTACAGCGGTCAGCTGGCGCAAAAGACAGCCTGGTGGATTTCGAGTACCGTACGCACGCATACAATGGAGGTGGCACCTTCGACAGAGATCAGGGGCGTAGCGGTTGGTTATCATCGTGTGGTGGTCGTTGACCCCCCTACTTACAGTACATAGTACTCAGTCCCTCCGCCAACAAAAAAAATTGAAAAGCGCATTGTCAGTCGTTGGCCGAGGGGTTGCAGTCCCTCCAAAGAAATCGGAGAGTGCCTACGTCCTTGCGAGACAAAGGGTGATTTGACTTCAGAATGCAAGTGTCCCCAAAACACATGGGGAAACTTTTCATATAGTGAATCTGCAATTGCTTCCAGTGCCAAGCTTGCTTGTGTGTACCGTTATACCACCAAGGGGACACGCGGTTCGGGACATTGTGTACAGCAAGTCAGAGGTCGAGAAGAGGCAAACTACAGCATATCGCACAGGGTACCACCTCACTCAAGCATGATAGACCAAGGGTTCTCACGTACGTTTCACACAGCGGAGCCTAGGGCGACTAGATACGGTGCGGCATACACACTTTTTTGTGCTGTGTCCCCAAAGTGTCCCCATTTGGGCATCCAGTCTGTAAGAGAGTTACTGTGAGTGGAAGTGTCCTTTGCCACTGCTTCTTTGTGGAGTATATATTGTGAATGTCAAGAGCATCGTTCCCAGGTCTGGAGCATAGGAATATATGCTGGTTTCGACCGTGTTCGAAGTGGGGGGTTCAGTGAATCAATGAATACGGCGATATAGGCTACCGCTATTCTACGATCCAGGGGATATGCAAGATAAGACACGAATTGGCCTTGGGCGCGGCAATGAGCACTGTTATGTCACCTTCTGGCAACCCAAATACAGCTCTTGAAGCTTGCACGAATACTGGAAAGGTCTGTAACCCGTCCATTCATTGCTACAGGTGATCACGGCTGTGTACAGTGTAGATGAGTTGTGAACTAGTCTTTCAGCGAGAGGTACAACACTCAATCACCGCTTTCATTCACGCACCGTCGGTTGTTGACGTGCGTAGGCTTTGGTACGTGAGCACTCCCCAACTCCTCTTCCTGCTGCCTCGGCTTGGGAATTTGGCGGTGTGGATGGTGTTCAGTTCATCCGCCAGTCGCAGTTTTGAAGTTTGATTTGTGCGCATCTGCCTCTCCGCAACATGCACTGACACGTGGGGGACCCACCATCTACAGTAGTCTACACTCTTCGGACCCCCTCACGTCTCGCGAGCACTCGCCGCCCAGAATGAGAGAGAGAGGGGGGGGAGAGCACCCGACCTACACTCGTTGCTGAATGCCCTCTTGTTGCAGTCGTTTATTGGAAATGTATGGTCGCGGTGCGTTCCCCACAACACCCACCTTGGCCGTGCGTTGTAGAATTAATGAACTTGATTGACAAGGCCGCCAGCGATGGTTTTCACAGAGAACCTTTCTTCCCGTCCAAAGGGGTTTCTTCGCTATTCGGTCGCTGCCGCTGATGTAGGTGTGTAATGATGTGTCATGGGTGCGTAAATTATGTGTCATCTAGGTGGGTATCATGCCACTCGAACGTGACTCCATCCAATCCCAGTAGGGCCCGTATCCGCCATTCATTGCAGGCAAAACCAGGGAAAAAACGAGTCAGCATCGGCACAGAGAAGAAGTTTTATCCTGCAAACAAAGCTGGCAGAGCAGGAAAGCGCCGAGCGGAGTGGGGCCGAGGAACCACGCGACATGTGGAGCGAGTCACAAACCTCTGTGCCTCAAGATTGGCAACATTGCGGTATTTGCAGCGGCGTGGCAGTAGTATGTAATCGAGCTGTGTCTGCGTCTGAACGGGCGAACGGAAAATAGCTTGCGTTAGTTTTTTAGAGAACGAAGATTAAAATGTGGGATCGTCGTTGTATGGCGGAGTTCGTCAAGATTACACATCGACAGCCCTCATACTGGAGTGGCTCTAGTGAGTAGGGGCGAGGCCAAACGACAGACAATAGTTCGCGAGACTCGTCTTCTCCAAAATACGTGGCAGTCCACAAAGAGATTCTCAAGCAACGAGATTCGCACGCCTGGCATTCTCCGGTTGCCGCGGTGGAGAGCACCGGGTAAATACGTAGCTCTCGTGAGAGGAACGAACTTATTGCAGCCAAGACGTCATTCAGACGAGGAGCACACCAGAGCCCACGATGCCTGTCCCACGCGCCGTAAAACTTTGCTTTCTTCCACAAAAAAATATCACTCCTGGAATGAATGCCGTCGATCGTTGACATCTGGCCCCGTTTCTTACGCTTTCGGAAGACCAACTCAGTTTTCGATGACGTAACCAATTCAAACGACAAGCTCATTTCATGAAGTCTCTTGGCGCCAAAACCCGAGACCTCCAGGAGAACAAGGAAAACTGAAATGTGTGCTCATGAGTCCTACAGATGACACGGATAATAGAGCGGTAGGACGATCCTCGTCCGTTGAGGTTTCTCCTCCGAATTCAACAACAACAGCGACCGCCGACGTTTAGCGACCGCCGACGTCAGCGATACATTCTGGTTAACCTCCCGGCCTCGGCCACAGATCATCAAACCCAGTGAGCGACGGTATTCAACCACATTGTCCCGCTTCCGGCCACGGGTAAAACAAGAGGCAAGCAGGATTTCGCACGCCTAGAAATGCCTTGGCGGTAAAAGGACGGCATGCCCTCATCAAAGATGCGGGTAGCCAACATCCCATGAGAGGACACGTTCCGCAAGACAAAAAGCGGAATGAGAGAGCGACGCTTCAGTTTCCTGAGTGTTCGACGCGCTCCATTCAAAAAAATAAAAAAAAGAAAATATGTTGTCCTTCCACCACCGGCACACAAAAAATTGCCATCATCAGCAACGACTTTCCTAAACAACTGCTTCGGCGTAGCCGCAGATGTAAGCTTCAGCACGAGCGATACCTTGAAAGATACATCACTTTCCATCACAAACAGGCAAAGATCTGGGCACCTGAGGGTCAGAAATCAATCACGACGACACATCGATGTTGATGGGCGTTGGGGCTGTTTCCTACACGCGCTTTGTGCGCAACGTTCAATGTTTCAACAAACACTGTTTCGAAGTACTTCGCCGACAACCAACTTCTCTACCCTCACTTCCTTCGAAGAAATATACACATGTTGCCTCTTCCGCCCCCTGCGGGGACGTACAAAGGCTCGCCCTGATTGGCTTCTCCGACAGCAGCACCGCACCAAGTCAAGACGCGATTCCTGAAAAGAAATCATGCTTTCTACCCCCTCCCTACGATGGCCCTCGAGCAGTGCCATTAATAACACATCCTTTGTCATTTGCTGCGTGGTTCGTGACACCCCTATGGCAGCTCTTGTCTACGCCGAGTCCTCGCAGTGAGTTTCGTAGGCCGCGGGGTCCATAAGCGTGTCGGGGGCGGGCTCCGTCATTTTGATCTTGATGAACCAGCCCTTGCCCATGGGGTCTTCGTTTAGGATGCCAGGACTCTCCGTCAACGCCTGGTAACGACACAGCAGTGACAATGAATTCGCCACACACAAACAATGGCGTCGGAAATACGGCAACCAATGGAAACAGAGGTTATACCACTCCTGATGCGACAAAACGCAAAAAAACACGTCACCAACGCTCTGTGTACGAAGGCATACACAAGCAATAGTGGGAAAAACGGCAACCACACGGAGACAGACCACTCCTGATGCAACAAAGTCACCAACACATGGTGTATGAGGTACGTGTCGACGTTTCATGGAGCAGAGAAAACTGCCAGCGCCGTCGCCGACGAGGAACAATCAACACATCCACGTCATTTTCGTGTGTATGTTATCTCATACGGTGCTCGGCTGTGACCACGTCAACTCAGTTCTGCGCCTGGGGTAGTGAGGAGGAGGCTGCAATGAGATCAACTCTCAGCTTCATTGCAAGACATCACCAGCAGCACCAGCGGCAGCGCACTAGTACCAGAGACAAACTAAACCTCCGTCAATACCCACAGTGATCAACTCTCCATAAAAAAAAACTTGTACAACACAATTTGACAAGCTAGTTGACCTCGACCAACAACCTTTCGTCTCTGCTTCCGCCTCTGCTTCCGTGCGCAGCTACTCCGAGGTGCAAGTAGACACGACTTCGTTGGAGATTTGCTGCAAAACATCCTACGCAAACCGATCCCCGTGGATGTAGATAATGCCCTAGGGGGTGTGCTCCGTCCCCTTTTCTGTGTCTCCTCATGACAAGCACTATTAGCCCTCCAAACCCCGCCAAACTGGGAGGAAGGTAGGAAAGCTCCAAACACGGGTATCAATGTTTCAGAGAGCTAAATTACAAACTATATGGCAGTTGGGCGTAGCGACAGAGGAGATGCAAACCAGTTCGAGGGTCGGCCAAGCAACGGCGGCGTGTGTGTGTGTGTGTGTGTGTGTGCAAGGGGTCACCGGGCAACAACGACCGGTGACAACAAGAACGAGCCAGGTGGAGTTCCGAGGCACAACGTGGGGAGTCCTTACAGAGGATAGCACACCATGACGACAAAAACTGAGCACATAGGAAAAAATCGGCAATCGAAACAGAACAATATCCACACAAAACACGCGTCACAAAAAACTTCCCACCATGCTTGAAGTTGCTTGAGTTAGGTTTTGGCCCGGGTTGTCCTTGATAATAACACGCACGAAGCCCCTGGAAGGCGCTGCGCTTACCTCGTTAACCTCCAGCACCTCCCCACTGGCCGGAGAGTACACATCGCTGGCAGCCTTCACCGACTCCACCGACCCGAACGAATCCCTATCATACACAAATATCAAAACCGAAATAGCACACGATACTTGCGATTATTATAGGTTAATGGAAAGGCACTCGAAACATCGACTAACACGAGCGGATGGGGCCGTGCGGGGCAACAAAAGGTACCGGGGATCCTCCAAAAGGAAGCGCATCTACAGTGGACGTCTCGTGCAGCAAGGAGATAAAAAAAAAAAAACGGGGGTCACCAACCAGCTCTCGCCACTGAAATCAGCTGCGAACACCTCGCACGTGACGTGCGTGTTCTGAATTCCGCAATCGGACCATGATTTTCCCTCGCGCAAGATCGCACGCCGTGTTTCCTCCTCACGTGCGTAGTCTCGTGGAACGGAACAACATCTGCTTTCAGACCCCGCAAAGAACGTGCCTACTATACTTAATGATGCGTTATCATACTACTATACCACGAGTGGAGTGGAACGTCACTGCCTACCTTCCTCAAACAACACGAGAGCAACAACAAATCCTCAACAACAACAACAAATCCTCTTACCCGGCCTCGAGCTCGTCGCCCACTTCGGGGAGATCTACGAAAACCACGTCTCCCAGAGCCTTGGCGGCGAAGGCCGTGATGCCCACCTTCGCGGTGTCCCCCTCCTGTTCACAAAACACGCAACCACGGGGACAGGGGGAAGGGCGCAAGAGTCGCGGGGGACGCGCGGATAGGAAAGGAACGCAGGGAGGGGTCCGTCAACAGGCGTTCAACGTCTAAAATGTACAAGTATGTGTGGATCTAATATTGTTGGCGCAGGTGGTACGTCTTTCGTCCGACTCTCAACGGAGCGTGAACACCGACAAGAGAGCGCCGTTCTGCTGCGTCGCGCTTGTCGCTCTCGACCAAGCATTTTCTGACCATGCCGCACACCCCGTGTCTCCGGGCGGCGTTGGTCAAGATCGCCCGTGGACACCCACCCAAATGCATGCCCCTGAGCGCCCGGTGCGAGACCACGGGTCGGTACATGCGACGGCAGTCTCCCGTCTCTCTGCAAGCCCAACATTTCACTTACCTCAAAACGTTAATGGCCAATGGGGTTTATTTCAGCTCTGATACATGAGCTCGGTCGAGCGCAGCATGAAAAGCATGTCAATTTCTTCATTCGATTTGTCGTCAAGAGCGAGGAAGTATCAAGTCATTCTTGTCGACGACAAGGCACCAGACACTCTTGCGCAAAAACACTGCCCCCATACATCTAAATAGGCGGGGGCAGAAAGGACCACACGGCAGCCCGGCGTGCGTTGAACGACGAGCAGGTCCTTAATTTGCAGGCATTCGAGGGCGCTCCGTCCTTGCAAAGCTGCTATCTGCGCCTCCGTACCATAGGCACCTCCGCACTTTTCGCGACCGGCGTCATACAGTTACTGTACCAGAATGCGGTGAGAGTCAAGCACTCCGAAGCGTGGGTCATGCAAAAAAAAACACCCAACGCGCGTGTAAAATTAGTTCGACCGCTAGAACAGATTGTACGGGAACGGGTTTGTCCCCTCGGCATCACCTATGAAATGGGGATCGGGGTTAAGGGTATGTAGGCGGAGCAGTGAGCAGTCGTTATCGGGGACTGCAGTGTAGAAGCCCGCATGGACGTTGTGGGATGGAAAACGCGAGGGATGGCGCAGGGAAATGTATGGCCGACGATAACAGAGGGGGATACCTCTGCCAAGTGCCAGCGGATCCAGGGCCATCAAGAACAGCAGCGGTTGTACATGGAGACGGTCGATCTCCCGTTGCGAGAATTCGCTAATTCGAGGTTCCTACAACGTAACGTATTCAGTTGCTACTGCTGCTGTGGCTACTCTGTATGGATGGGTGGAAATGCATGGGGATAAAATTCAGACAACGACAGGGAATGAAATATCGCTAAAAAAGCATGGGTGGATCCTGTGCCGTAGCCGGAGGCCTCTTTTGATCCCAAACATTACATCGTCGAAACTATTCCGCAGTATATACTGCGATGTATTAGAGGGAAACATTCCCAAGATGGGGTCAGGGCTTGCCGCCAAACAGCGGGAACGGCAAGGTGTCCTTTAAACTGTAACAACTCTCCGTGCTGTCGATAACATCAAGTAAAGCAAGAAGCAACAACACCACGTGTGAGGTAGGACCCACTCAAGGACAACCTAACGCTCTCGAGTCCTATCTGAGAGCTGCCGGCACAGCACACTGCGAGGCACGACTACAAAACACACTCCAATTATCCCAGTTGTGAGATCGCCCGCGTTTCATAGTGGTTTTAACCTGCACTTAAAAACCGCGTTCGTCATCTAAAACTTTTTCTACAGGAGAGATCCTCGCCCAAAGAAAGGGCCGGACCTCTTGTTGAGCATGGATTGGATTTTTAAAAACCGTGCCTGTCCTGAGCCCTACACGCAAGTCCCAGAGGTGAAGGGCAGCAAACGCAACACACGATCCATCCCCACAACAAGCAATGTCGTCGTCGCGCCTCATGGCAGGCGGCGGGAAGGAGAGAGAGAGACAAAAAGGACCCAGAGACAGCAGCATCAACCCAAAAGAAAATCAAGACAATGCCGTGCTTCCGGAACAAAACCACTCGCGCGCTCCAACAAGCGATACGTTCTTCTCCTTAAGATGTTGTCAAGCAAGCGACGCCGCTACTGGAGTGCATACGTGTGCTGCCTGCGAGATCACAGGAGCACTCGAACAGACAGCAAGGAGAGCGAACGTGCCCCAGCTTGCTTTTTATGAGTACAACATCTAAAAGCCGGCGTGGATCATATGCGCGGCGGCGGAGCAAGGAGAGAGAATCAAAAGCGCCTCTGGCGCAACAACACCACCCCTTACCACTGTGAGGTACTCGTGCGACTCCGCGTAGACCGTCGACATGCAACGCTTGTTCCCCGCGCCCGCCGCGAGCCACCCCGTTCTTGCCAGAGACGGAGAAGGCCCCGTGAACGCGCGCATGGTCCGCACGGCGGCTCCCGACCTCAACGCGCCACTAAACCTAGCCACCGCCACAGACGCCATGCTTTTAGAGAGGATGTGTGGGAAGAAGCTCTGGTAGTAGTAGTAGGGAGAGAGAGCGAGAGAGAGCTGCAGTAGATGGTGAAGCTCGGCGGGTGTGCAAGATGTTGAATGATGTTTGCATGTTTGTCAGGGGGCCTGCGGCGGGATAAACACGCGTGTTTTTTTTTTTTTTTGGCGTGTCCTCCTCGATCGATGCAGCACCCAGCAGCGGTAGCAGTATCCCAGTATCCCTTTCCCTTCTCCCCCCGCAACTGGAATAAGCAGCTCGCATAGAACATGATCCAAGCAACCAGCACGACGCTGCGCCGTTGCGCGGCGCGAGCCTGCAACGGCGGCAGCGGCAGCCAGGCGCTCAAGCAGCACGCCCAGCGAGCAACGTTCGCGTCCGGCCCTCTCGAAAAGACGGCATACCACCAGATGCACGTCGACATGAAGGGCAAGATGGTGCCCTTCGCGGGCTACGAGCTCCCCGTCCTCTACGAGGGCGAGGGAGGAGGGGTTATGAACGAGACTCTGCACTGCCGCGCGCCGGGGAAGGCCAGCGTGTTCGACGTGAGCCACATGGGGCAGATAAGGTGGACCGGCAAGGATGCGGCGGATTTCATCGAGAGGTGCGTTGTGGGGGACATCAAGGGGCTCAAGGCCGGGGAGGGGCGGCTGACGCTCATCACCAACGCCAACGGCGGAATCGTAGACGACACCGTGGTGAGTGCTTTGTCTAGCACGGGAGGAAGACGCAGGCAGGGTAGAGCAGAGGTCAGGATACCCGCGTGAAAACATGCCGCTGGATATCTCGCTGATCTATCTTGCAGTGTTTCCGCCGCCGGAGACAGCAGGCACTCACACACGTACGCGCGCACGAGACCCGTCACATGACACCAGCCTTGGCTACAGCGGCGCTTTCGCTGGACCTTTGTGCCTTGCTGGAAGCCAATAGAACGCAGAGGATCGAGCCCTTCCCCTGCATCCTTAGCGTCGATTGTCTGAAGTCAGGCGCGCTGAGTTCTGTTCGTGCTATTGTATGCATATCTACTACTGTACGCCGACTTTTCATGTCACGTCATCCGACATGATCAATACAGCTGCGCTGGACTGCTGTGATGTTCAGAACCATATTGAACAATTGTCTAGGGAGGCCTCAGCAGGGGGCACGAGGGGTGTTGTGCTGCACAATTTGGAAGGGCAAAGCAACATGCACGTCCCTCTGCGGGCAGTTTTTCGTGTCTCTTGTCTACTACTGTAAGGTTTTGTCAAGATATCATGGCGGGTTGTTTTCGGCTTTTAGGATGCCCGCGCTATCCACTTCTTTTAGTTGCCTGACACAAGGACACCTGGCGGCGAGCGTGTCGCATCTGTCAACCGTTGTTGTCTTGAACAACGTCACTGTGTGGGCGCTAGTAACGGGTGTGCTGGCGGTATGGAGTAGACCCGCCGCCGTAAAGATGGATGAAGTGGGGGGGCGACGTTCCCCCTCGGCCGTGCCACCGAAGAGCTGCGTTGGTGGTTTGCCCGATAGTCTGAACGCTTTTACGCTAGTAGACACGTAAGGATATAGCGGTTAAACTACATTTTTCACCCGTGTCACATACGCACAAATTTCTACAGACCCGGGGGTTGTGTAGGCTTTCAAACTCTACGAAAGGCGAGCGCTTTTATATTGGTCCTTGTCGAGCACTTGGCCGGCCGGATTGAATACAAGTCATGGAAAGTCTCGTGCTGTGTCTTTGTTCTCGCGTCGAAGTTTGTGTTGTCATCGGGAGCTACATTCTAGGAGTAGCTGCGTGTCGATCAGCGTTGCTGTGGTCAAGAGAAGTAGCGGCCACCCTGTTTTGCTCCGTTTTCTCTGCATCACCCGGGCGTCAGGTCACAGCAGTAACGCTCGCCCCGCCGTTGTACACATCTGAAACTTTGTGGTGCTGCCGTTCCTACGCTCTTATTCCTTTTGGAACTGCCGCGGGCGGTTTGAAAGCACCAGAAACCCACAATACATGCATCTCCTGGTCCGTCGAGTGCCTCTGCGTCTAACATCCCTGTGCCGGCCGATCGATCCGTCGGTTTGGTCCACGCTACGTCCGTAGGTCACGAACGCCGGGGACTATATCTACATGGTCGTGAACGGGGCGTGCAAGCACGGCGACATGGCGCACTTCAAGGAGCAGATGGCAGACTTCAAGGGCGACGTGCACATGGACTACATGGAGACGCAGCAGCTCCTGGCGCTGCAGGGGAAGGGCGCCCCCGCCGCCCTCCAGGTACGGGCCCGCGTCGTCATCGTATCTACCAGATGATGCCCGAGCTTTCCGTTTTTCTCTGTGCGGAGGCGGGTGTCGTTTGATGCCTCGATTGGAAGGCTTGGACCGATCGGACTGACAAGACCAGATTCGTTTTATCTCCGAAACAGATATCCTTCGATTCGTAGATATCCGAAGCCACCATCGGCCAAACTGTTTTGTTGCGGCCGTTCGCCTCATGTGTCGCTTGATGGCGTCCAAGGCAGCCTGGCACACGTCGCGTTTTTTGTCGCCGTCGTCTCCAGGCGTCGATCGGCAACTCGATCGAACCTTTCGTGCCTCTCGTCTATAGGCACAATGACTCTCGCACCCCACGTAGCCGGAATGAAACCATTAGATCATAGTCAGCGCCGAACCCACGACAGCATGTACCTTGTGGCGACTGATAAGAGAGATCCGTGTCTTCGACGTGATGACCCACACAGTCCCTGATGCCCGACGGAGTGGACGTTACGAAGATGCTTTTCATGACGGGCGTCGACACGACCGTGGCCGGCATCGAGGGCTGCCGGGTGACTCGCTGCGGCTACACTGGCGAGGACGGCTACGAGGTACAAACCTACATTTCCGGGTTGTCCCCGCTTTTAGAAAGCCATTTTGTTTTCTGGAAAACATGGCGCCCGGCAGAATGTACAAACAACAAGGGGGGTAGCCTATGCTGTTAAGGACGCTTCCTTTGAAGGACAACGGGGGTCGTTAATAGCGGGGATGACTCTACCACCCAAACGCGTCGATTTGGGTGTTGGGTTTTCAGCAATCTACAGGAGTTTGTACTTGGCCCGAGGGGCGCGAAAATGGGGTACACGTTTGAGGCGTTTGCTTCGGTGGGGTGGGGTATGTGTGCCGCGGACTTTTAGGCTCGAAAAATTCTCAGTCGCGGTGTCTTTCCGAAGTTCATGTTCAAGTCGCCGTTGATACAGCTACAACGTTAAAGCTACACTTGTTCACCAAGCCAAGACCCAGGAAAGCACCGTTTCTTTTCGGAACCGCTCGAAGTCGCCGTTTCACAGACCGTCGTCTGTCAAGGCCACCTGTGCTGAACGCAAAAAGTATTCGTACAGTAGCTGCTGCCATACATTTTTCACAGCAGCCGATGGGGCCGTTGCGCCTAAGAAAGGCCGGCGTCGTTACGGGTTTTGTTACAGCGGTCGGAAGGGAGCCAGCTGACCCTTCGTCACGAAGCAAGAATCTCCAGTCGTTCGTGTTTTCTCGTTTCCACCTCGCCACACAGGCACACAGACAGTTTCAAAGCCACCTGCCTGTAAGAGGCCAGCCGCGGTTTCCTGACCACTTTTGGGGTGTAGAGCGCCCCCATCGACCCCGGGGATTGTTGAGATACTGCCCCCTGAAATCTTAGTAGAAAAGTCCCCGCATTAAAAGACTCTCGAAAGAAAAACAGCCATGTGTGTCTTTGAAGCGGGGACGACTGATTGACGTGCCTTTTTTTTTTTTGGCAAATCGTGTTTTTTTGCTTTCCAGGTGAGCGTTCCGTACGACTCGGCGGTGGCCCTGGCGGAGTCGTTCCTCGGCATCTCGGGCGTCGAGGTGGCGGGCCTGGGGGCCCGCGACGCGCTGAGGCTGGAGGCCGGGCTCTGCCTGTACGGGAACGACATCGACGCCACTACTAACCCGGTGGAGGGGTCATTGGCGTGGTGAGTGAGGAGAAGAAGAAAGCAAGGGCAAGAGGAAGTCTGTAGCGGAGCATGCGGCCGGCGGTAGCGGTGGGTGCTTCGTGCTACGTGTTACCATGGAGAGGGATCCTTGGCATGGTTAGCGAGGACAAGAATATGCACGAGAAACAGGAAGTATTTTTTGAAGAGTGTGTGCACAACGGTATTAGCGTTGGGTGCGCACCATGCCATCACTGAAAAATCTCAAAGCAGAGAACCGTCTCGTGTACACATTGCTTTGTTGTGTTTTCTGCCGATGCTGGGTGTGTGGCGGAAAATGTTCTATTTGTGTGTCGTTTGTTTGCCATTCTCGTGCTACTGATGTTTGCCGTGTAGGCTCGACACGTTTCCGCCAATTACCGCAAAGGACTCTTTCTTATCCGTGTAACGACCCTCGCTGCCCTACGGTTGCGACTGTCGTTGTGGTTGTACGCCTTGCCGTTTTTTTCCAGGACTATGGGGGGTCCCAAGGGACGGCGAAGACTTGAGCAGGGCTTCCTGGGCGCGGAACACTTCCTCACCCCCGAGGGAAAGCTCAAGGTCGGTTAGGTTATCGGTCAGGATATCGGTTAGGTTAGGCTTGGCTTTTCGGTGGCAGACTATACCGGTAGTAGGGTGTTGTCAGGCACGTCCTTCCGAGGCGAACAAATTGTATCCAGGAGATTCGCCGCCGCCGCCATCACCACCGCCGCCGCTGCTGCTGCTGCTGCTGCTGCTGTTGCCGTTGTTTGCTTTTGCTGGTGCGCTATGTACGGTTTTTTCATGCCACCTTTCGTCTCGTGCTCTCCGGGGGGAAGGGCTAGGGTTTTTGTTTGTCGAAGAGCGTCGTAGAACGCTATCAGAGTGTCCGTACGATTCGGAGGACGATAACCACCTAACCGACCTCGGGTTCCACCGTGGCATTCTTTACCAAAAGCGATTCGATGTCAGCATCAAGTCGCGTGTGTGATTCATCGGCCGTAAAGTCGTGACATGTCGTCAACCTGTGCTCGAGGTCAGAATCAATTACACTTTTTTTCATCGTTTAGCCGTAGAAGGTGACTCTGCGGTGTATCCGGGGTGCGTTCTGGTGCGTGTTTTCGACCCGCTTTCGGACCCTCTGCACACGGCGGTGATCCAAAACAGTTGGTCTGCCATGTCCGTGTTGGAAGATACGCTGATCGCCTTCTTGCGGAGTCGATTTGTTCCTGTCTCTTGTTGCTTGAGTTGTACTGAAAATGAGTTTCTCCAGATAACGGAAAACCGTTCTCGTTTCTTTCTGTGGTTAAACGAAAACGTATTTGACCAAACTCCCCGCTGCCTTCCCGGTGCCCCGACTACGTATGGTTTTTCAACCGAATCCTGTTATTGCTGCGATCGCGGCCGAGCAGAAGCAAAGCAGGAAGCGCGTTGGCATCTTCGGCATGAGGGCGCCCGCTCGCGACGGCACCGAGATTTTCGACGCTGAGGGGAAGACCAAGATCGGGACGGTGAGTTCTTGCTCTTTCTCTCTCTCTCTCTCTCTCTCTCTCTCTCTCTCTCTCTCTCCCTCTCTCTCTCTCCCCTCTGCCCTGCCTAAAGTTGTATGTGTGTCGATACCGGCCGCCTGCGGCCTTGCGATGTCATGGGGGCAGTACTCTCGTTCAGCATGTCCTACAATAGTCGAGTGTGGAGTCGAGCCAAAGGGGCCATGTGTGTCGAGGGGCAGTGACTTCCTTTGTCTACTATATGAGTAAATAGTTTTTCGTCCTAGTTTTTTTCTCTCGTGGTGCCTTTTCGAGAAGACATTGGCCACGCGAGCCAACAGATCATGTGAAGAGATCTGACACGTACCGACGTCACAATACCCCCCAATAAAACCAAGCAGAGGATGTGCAGGGGAAGCTGTGCAGAAGGGTGCAGCCTCCGAACGTTTTCGTGCATCGGTGGAGTTTGCATCGATTACGCTGTGAAGTGGTGACAAGGGTAGCGCGTCATGTCTACCTAGGCGACACAAGGCAGAACCATCAAGCTCTATAGAACCCAACCACTAATGCTGTGTTACCGATGCTTGTGTTGAATCAGCGTCGGCCGTTACCTCTATTTGATAGCTGGCCTCTGCGCGGTGTGGTTTGCCTGCGCGGTAGTACCGTCTACATAGCCCTCCTAAGTGTTTCCCCCCCCCCCTGATGGTCCTCTCGCCTCTCCTCGCCCCGCTTGTTGGCGTTTCTCGCAGATCACGAGCGGGACCTTCAGCCCCTGCCTCAAGAAGCCGGTGGCAATGGGCTACGTCGAGACGGCGCACGCCAAGAACGGTACCGACGTCATGCTCAAGATCCGCAACAAAATGGTGCCGACCGCCGTTACCGCGATGCCGTTCCTCGAAACGTCGTACTACAAGCCGTAAAACCGATCACCCTTTTTTTTGGCCCACACGCGTTGGGAGCAAAAATGTGTTGGGGGTGTGTGTGTGTTTATGGCAGATCAGTTGACCTTTTACGGGTGGTTCGAAACCGCAAAAGAGCTGACGCAAATTTGGTGGCACAAGCAAGTGTGTAGCAGCAGCTTCCCACGCACCGTGCTGCTGGTGGTGGTTGGAGAGTGAGGATGGTCGTTGTCTGTGTTGACGTGGGTCCTTCATGGTGTGCCCGGCATGGCGTCGCTGCCGGTCGGCCTCGACAAGAGGGCACCGAGGAGCGTTGCCCAAGGGCGACCGATCGAAACACGAGTGGCAAGAAGATTGGTGTATATTACAGCCTGTGCTAAACGCGTTGGTCAGTAGAGAGTGGGATAACCCGCAGCGGTGAAGTCCAACACAGCAGTACTGCGAGTGGCGTGTGGCTACGCCGCTCGACTGGTTTGTGCGTTCGGGTGGCAGAAACAAGGCCAGGGAAATCCTGTTTCGGCCTATCCTGTTCTATCCGATGTCGAGAGGAAATCCTGTTTCGTGTTTTAGGTGGCTTTGTTTTTGTGGGGTTCTTCCACGAACAGGCAGCAGCGGTGTGTGCCAGGGGGTGTGGATGTGTTCTACTGTATATTCCAGGCTGTAGGGAGGCATTCGGTCACGTGGGGGTTGAGCGCATTCGTTGTTCATTTTGCAACGTTTTGTTGAAGTTTCCACATGTACTTCTCGTGCACATGCGAGCCAGCAGGATCAGGATGAATGTTAAGGGTCATGAGCAGAGATCGGAACAACTGTTTGAACGTGCAGGCAGCAAGAACAACATGTCGGGGGCGAGAAGATACGAATAATTCTTACCCAACCTGTGCATCGGCTGAGTATTGATGTCCGTTGGGGTCGAGAGACCAGACGACGTCATCGGCCCGAGTCGATCTCGAGGGGGTCTACCAAACTTTTGTCTTTATGTTGCGGGACCCCTCCCGTATATACTGTTTTGCTTCAGGTCTGTTTCCACATCCCATCTTAATCTAGATGATGGCAGCTGATAAAGCTAACAACGGTGTGCGCGACAATGTCGGGCAACCACGACCCGTCGGAGAGCATCACCTCACTCTTTGCACGCGAATAATCGCCTGAACGTACCGAGTGAGAATTTGATTTCGATTGTCGACCCCTATTGTGTAGGTTCGAACAAGCGACATTTTGGATCACCGTCCGTCGTTTTTTGCGATGTCATTGGTTCGTCCGCGTTGCCGCAGGGGGCAACCGCGATCGACCTGTGGCAGCGTGCCTGTGAGTGGCACCTGCCGCCACGGCGACACGTTGCTATTGCTAGTGATCTTTAGATGAGCAACATCGTTGGCGGCTTTTCTTGGATGTGGCGTGGGTGGACAGCAACAATTTTCATTCCGAACTTGAACACCAGGTCGGCTGATGACCGGAGGCCTCTCTCTCTCTCTCTCTCTCTCTCTCTCTCTCTCTCTCTCTCTCTCTCTCTCTCTCTCTCTCTCTCTCTAGGTCTCTCTGAAGTTTCAAATGCATCGCGTGCAACACCGGCCTACTCTTCTTCCTTCCTAGCACGAACGAATATATGGGAGGTAGTGGATGGTGCTTTTTCTAGGCGATACGAGAGCTAGAGCGATACCTTGGCACCTGCTTCGCTCAAGTCGCATCTTAAGCGCAAGGAATATTTGAGTATTTGAGGCAAAAAAAAAAATAACCCTGTGGGGAGAGACGAATTCATTCACGGCCGACAGCAGCAGTCCACAACGGACCCGCGCGCGTGTTCAAATTAAAACACATGTGAGAAACGTCAAAGCACAACAAACACGCACCTTGTCATAGAAGCGTAACCATCCCCGTTCATGGGATGGGACCCATGAAACCTACCGACTAGCTATAGCTGTGACAGGGTTGCGACAACCCGTTGTGGTCCTTCCACACGCTCATCACCTTTAGAGAAACAAAAATAAAATACACTGACCAAAAACTCGAAATATCCAAGTTGCCCAACTCAGGGCACGCCCCTTCCCCAGTGCACGCGTTGCAGTCCTTTACCGCGAAGCTATAGATTGTACTTGTAACGCCAACCGCGCACCCGCGTATACTCGAAGCGGGACACGCTCGCTGGTGGGAACACTCGAAAACAATTCAATCCCCGCCCGTTCGCCCTTAACCTCACTACCAACAACGTTAGACGCCCCCTCCCCCCCCCCCAACACCACCACAGCTATGATAGGTCTGCTCTATATCAACCGTCTTTGCAGCAACCAATTTTTAATTTCTGCACATATGCACACATCAATTTGTTTTTGTATCCATGAAGTCCAACCCACAAAGGTTTCTCTTGTCCCAACATGCCGCAGCGGTCAAAAAGCGATCGGTATTATGTTACCACTGGAGCTATGCGTTCTCCGACTCCGGGCCCCTTTCCGTTTAGTCTATAACATACGGCGGTGGATGTTGTGCCCCGGTGACCTATCCCGTGTGCAACAGAAAGGCCTGCAAGACCGACGCCCCCTTGAAACATCGTGAAAAATCATTCATTTCATCACGATGAACACGCAAAATTCGAAATAGCGTCGACACCATTGGGCGGTAAACAAAGGGGGCCATGAACCGCCTATTCACTCCCTCACCTCTCCTCACTTGCGGTGCCGCACTGAAGTCTGATTGGCCGGCATATCTAATCATCGAAACAAAACATGATTTCATCCCCGAAGCGATGAATGCCGTGCTCTGAACCCTCCCACCCACCCACCCGTACATCCACAACACGGTGGGTGCGGAGAGAAAGATGGTCATCTAAACAGACGAAGCCGTACAAGTACAGCTTCCGCTGCATGCCGCGCAAAAGAGACGGGGGGGGGGAACCACAGGCCAGACAAAAGCCGAAAATATGCGGCGAGATTCACGATTTCCCTGAACCGTCGCAAAGACCCGCCAACGTTTCCACATGTGCAAATCCACCACTTGAGGCTGCTGCTGCTCCGACGCAGTTGTACTGATTCCCTAAACAAGAAGCATTTCATCACTCAGCAGCAGCACCTTCTCCCGGTGAAACAAGCCTCCCACCACGCTGCTCGCCCATGATGGGGAAAAAGCCGGAAACGAACGTAAATACACGCAAACAAACGCCTCTCCTATAGGTGCAGAAACACAAGCGGTACTACCCACACCAGTCGCCGAGAGCGGGAGAACTTTGCTTGCGGTAGGTAGCAGACGAGAGACAAAAAAACAACAACTCTCATGCAAACTAAAAAAAACGCGTCTGCCGCCAGCCAACACACCATGTTGGAATAAATAGACAGCCGGTAACAATATAGACCCAACATGTCAGAGGTCGCAGTAACGCGTAGCCCCCCCAAAACATCAATCCCCACACTCGGACAGCACTCAAAAAAAGATCCACAAAGCTCGAACAAAAGGACCGCACTCCCTCCATCGTAAACACGCCTCTTTGCATTATTCGAACAGGTAAGTAAACCCTCCCGACAAGCACACGCAGACACACTTCACCCAACCTCGCCCACCACATAAAAAAAAAACGCACCCCTGTTCATTTTCATTTATCAAACGAGTGAAAACACCGCACAAAAAAAATAAAAACGCTGCGGCGTGAACCAGTCAACTCTAAAAAACAAAACGAGCCGGTAGAGCCACGGCAGAGCCCATCGGCCTGCCAGAAAAACTCATCCGACGACACCAGACTCTCACCCAAGAACAAACAAAACCAACAACATCTGATGACCGCACCCGCTGGACCGCAGCAAGATCCGACCAACCATGCCATCAGTCTCTGCAACGCCCTTTCCCCTTACCCTTACCCGTGAACGACACCGCTTCGCCGTCCTCCCACCCCCCCAACCACGCAGGCGCCTGGGCCCCCGCCGCCGCCGCCGCCGCCGCTGCGCTGTCGGCGGCGCCCCCGCCCGCCCCCGCTCGAAAGCCGCTGGAGCTCGCCGCCGCCCCACCACACGTGCTCGGCAACGCGGCGCCGCTAGCGTCGCTCCCGTGCCCATGAACGCCGGCACCAACACCAACACCGGTGCTTTCCCGCGCTCCGAGGGAACCGAAAGACGGCAGCACGGCAACGTCGGGCCCGCCGCCGTTCGGGGTTGCAGCGGCGACCCCTTTTCGTGAAAGCGGCGGCAACGACGACGACGGCGCCGCCGCCGCCGTGTTGGAAGGGGGTTGTGGCAGGTGCTCCGCTGCTGCCGCTGCCGCTGCCGCTGCTGCTGCCTGTTGGCTCTCCTGCGTGGCCCTCTGGATCATTTCTTCCTCGTGGGACTGCCTGCTGGCCTCCATGACTCGCCGTAGCTCCTCGTCGTTGTCCTGACGACAACAGCACACACGCAAAAGGCCAAAAAAAAAAATCACGCCAGGAGGGCAAAATCAGGGGCAGGGGAATCCGGCATGCGCAGAGTGCGTGGTGGTCGCCCCCCGCCGGGGCAACCTGTAACTCTCCATCTGATAAGACAAGAGTTCAACAAAGGCTTGGAACATATAGATTGGGTTTGGGGGTGTTGCTTGTTTTGTTTTGGGTATTTTTTATTTTTCAGGTTTAGGGACGCAATATATGACCTCCCGAAAGAGCTGCTTCCCACACGCGCGACGAGATAGACGCTACTGCAGTCAGATGCCAACCGATGCCGCCAAGAAACGAACGCTGGGGTGAACTAAGCTACAGCACGCCTCAACTGACAACAGCCATCAGCAAAACGGACGAAGATTAGCCAGCAAACGAGAGAAACAAAAAAGGTAAATGGCAGGCACATGCTCGTGAGCGTGACCAGAGCAGGACCGCAACACGGACGAATAAACATCGATCTAGTCTACTCAAAATAATTGCATGTAACATGACACGTTCAGGGTATCAGGGTATCAGGGTGTGGGTGGCGAGTCAAGAACCGTAACAAAGCGACGATCTGTTATTCTCGTTCACGCGGCCCTTCCACTAAACAAAAAAACGGGACGCACGACACGCGCGCAAAAACTCCAAAAGCACCCCAAAAAGGCTCACATCTCCTTCCCACCCCGCAACCGCGATCAACTTGTCATCCAACCGGCCGCCTCCATCCAGTCCGTCGGCCCCCACACCGAAATCCCTCATTATCACGTCGCTGGGCTCGATGCCGTCGCTGATCAAGCCTCCACCGCCACCACCAACCCCGACGTTCCCAAACCGTCCCGCCCCCAACCCCGGAACGTCGGCACCACCGGTACCACCAGCGGTCGTAGGGGAGTATACGACCCCGCCCAAGGCGCCGATCATGCCGCCGCCGTCGCCCGCGAAGGCAGCCTGGTGCTGATGCTGTTGGCCTCGTGCCCCGAGCCCCCTAGGTGGGGGCTGATACACGGCCTTCCTACCATGATCCTGGTGGTGGTGGTGGTGGTGGTGGGGATCATTCTCCTTGGATGCCGTCATCGCTCTGTTGGGGTCACGGTGCCCTAGCGCCCCGACCGTGGTTGGTTGTTGCTGGTTCCAGGTGGAAGTGCGGGATCGGGACGGAACGGGCTCCAGGGTAAAGGAGCACGACGAAGCGGAGGAAGGGCACGGGGAGGCCGGACGGGAGGGAGGAAGAGAGGCGGCAAGGTTGCTGTTTCCCTCTCGCGCCGCTGCCGCTTCCGCGTCGAGTGGGCGGGGGGCGTGCGGAGCCGTTGTCTCCGACGCCACACCGAGCCCGCTACCAACGTCCCTCGCGGCAGTGATGCACACATTCTCCGTCAACGATGCGGTGTTGTCGTCGTCGCCGACATCACGGCTACTGCTTCTGCGTCCCTCGTTACCGTGACGCCCCGCTCCCACACCGTCTAGCTCCATCCCAACCGACGGCGCTCCGTCAGCGCCGCAGGGTGACGGCTCTCCCGGCGTGCTGGACCCGCTCTCGTCCCTCCGCCTCCGGAGCCGTCGTGAGACGCCATCGTTGTCGTTGTCGCGACCGCGACCGTCTTCCACTACCCCCCCCGCCCGCCTGCCCCACCCGCCGCCTCCGCCGCCGCACCCCGACCCATCGCCGCCACCGGCGCCGCGTTCCTCTCCGGCCCTCACCTGAGACCTAGCACTACTGCTTGTCGGGGCCGCCGCCGCCGATGAAGCAATGCCGCCGGCGGCGGCGTCCGCGTCCCCGCCCAAGAGCTGCCCGCCGTAGTCGGCGTCTTCCTCCGTCTCCGTGTCGTCTCCCGCTGAGGTCTCTCCTTCCCCGCCGCGCACGGCCCCGTCGTGCCTCGCGCCATCGCTCCTCTCTATCGCCGCCGCCGCAGCAGCGTCGCCACCGCCACCGCACGTAGCCTCAGCAGCTGCCGCCGACAACGACATCGCGATGGCCAGTTGCATCTGCTCCTCGTCCTGCTCCGCCAGGCTCCTGCTCCCGCCGGTGAGGTCGACCACGCCGTCCCTGCTCCCGGACGACGGGATCGCTAGGAGCCCCCTCGCCGCCAGCGTCCTCCTGTCTACTATGCCGCCGCCGCCTCCGGAGGCGGTCCCGCCCGT